GCCAGTTGCCCGGAGGCTGTCAAATTTGCTACTATTACTATAACCGGCTATCCTCACCTCCTTTGGGGCCAATGGTGTAATTAACCAAACTATCTTGTTCCATGCTGTGACGCAGTTTCAACCTTTTTCAAAGAGCTGATATATTTTAACTGCACTTCTCTTAACTCTTCGCTTCATATACTTTATTGATTGTGCATTTGTGTTGGAACCAGAGGGACGGTTAAAGTTAATGAAATCTTACAATTAAACTAATATATTTCTTCTATTTGTCTTTGCAGGATTTTTTTTTTTTTTTTAAGAAGGAAAGGCAAGATTACACTTGAAGAAAAAAAACTAACAGGAACGAAAAAACTACTCTAAGTCATCCCTAAAGCGAGAAAGGTAATCGGCCGGTGGATGCCACAAGTCTTTGCAGGATTTGATGATGTGAAATGCTAGAAACGAAGCTGGCAGGTTCCTAGCATTGTCATGGAGCTCTTGGATGTTTTGGAAGGTTGTGTATGAATAAGTCGGGACACTAAATGTAGAGAAGTTAATGTCGACGGTGTCTCTTTGAAGGCTTTTTTTTTTTCAAAAAAATGAAACAAGGTATCCCCAGTTATATTAGACTTGAGACTAATCCTTTTCGGGTCTAAAGCAGTTAAAAAATAATCCTCCCAACAAGTACACTTCTCAAGATTCGAACTTGTGTTCTTCTTCTTACGAAGTAAGATTACTACCATCTCAACTAATAACTTGTTGATTTTTTTTAAGACTTTTAATTCGATTCAAGATTACTCCTCCGCTAACCACCCCACTTGGCTACTTGTAAAGTTTACCAAGAATATAATTTTTTTTATTAAATTAATTAATCTTTTATCTTTTTGTGAAACCACGGGATGTCTTAAATTATTAAATGCATCCACACATCATTCACCCAGCGCAGCCATTGTTTACCAGGTAGACTGCCCTGCATCTCATTTTCCCTCACTTCCTCAGCAGAGTAATCATGTTGGCAGTTGTCTTCGAATTTTTTTTTTTTAGGCTAACAATAATTTCTTTGAAAATGAGTAATGCTATTTTAGTCATAAATCGTGTGGCCCACAGGCAAACTATTTTTCACACTGATCTTAATACTCGATGTCGATGGACGCGTACATAATCATAGCACGCTTTAAAACGATTCCATTGGCAGTAACTATTTCGACGTATTGAAAAGAAGAAGAAGAAGAAGAATATAACAACTAATATTAATATCATATTAACACGGGAACAGATAAAAATATTTTTCGTTATTAAGCATCTAATGAAGACTGAAGTAAACTGTAAATTATTTTTACCAAATTTAATTAAAAACATGTTTATATTCTTTTGTTGCATAACAAATTTTCCAGTATCATTTGATATTTCTGGGACTCTTTGCTCGCCACGGGATCAACAAGACTGGCTTTTAACCTGGAATTTAACTCAGAGCATTGGATGCTGTACAATGGTTTTGTGTTGAATGAAGGTTTCAGTTTCAAATTGTTAAAAAAAAGGAGTATTGAATGTTCTTATTTTTCGCCAACGTTTTGAACCTCGGATGCATTTCAATCAATGTAATACGTTTATTTATTCAATACCTTTCTCATCCTTTTTGTTTGGCTACGGTGAAGTGTAGTACCTGTTTTTATCAGTTTATTTATTATTATTCAAATTAATTAATATAAGATCTTAAGAAAAAAAATGTAATTATTAAAAAATCTTAACAACAGTTAAGCAGTTATTATTTCTCATATTGAAACTTGGTTTTCCTAATTACATTTTTAACTTGCAACTTCACGACAGTTTCTCTCTCTTTTTTTTTTAAATGAATCATACCAATTCTGAGAAAATAGTTCCAAAAAATAATACTAACTCATGTCTTATTTATAAAACCTCATTTGTAAATTATAAACACAGTCTTATAAATATGGCAGGTGTAACATCCTAAGTTTTATCGGGTTTTAATAGCCTCTTTTGGGTTGATTTTGAGGATAGATTAGTGATTTAATCTTGATCTTGGTGTTTGGGTTGGATTTGAGGTTGGTTGGAGGCATAGGTGAACGTACCCCTCTCAGGGTATGTTCGCCGCGGCGCACCGGGAGTTTCAGAGGGGAGTGTCTTCACGGGAAGGTTTGGCCGCGGCGAAGTCTAGGGGACGCCGCGGCGAAATTGTTCAGGTGAGCGAGGCTTCCCTTTCGGGAAGGTTTCGCCGCGGCGAAGTTCTTCTGGGCGAGCGAGAGTTTCCTCTCGGGAAGCTTTCGCCGCGGCGAATATGGGAGTTCGCCGCGGCGAAGTCAGGTTTTCAGGCGAGTAATCCCTCTCGGGATTAGTTCGCCGCGGCGAAAGGTCGCGATTCTATATAGTCGCGGGAGGGTTCAGCGTGCGAAAATAAGAAAAATCTGAAGGAGGAGAGAAGAGCTCTGCTAGGGTTTCGAACTTTTGGCTTGGAGGAGACATTTCTAAGGATCCATTACCTCAAGTAAGTGATTTTAACCTCTAATCTATCTTCTTGATTGGAATTTATAAGGATTTATGGAGAAACCCTAGGATTTTCTAGGTTGTGTTGGAATTGAGGTTTTTGACCGATTGTTTTGAGTTTAATTGATTGCATTGGGTTAGTTTAAGTATTTAATCGGTGTAGTTTTCTTAGATTTAAAGAATCTTGATTTTTGGAGCTAGGGTTTATGGAATTGGATGATTTGGGATTGAGGATGATAATGTAGAGATTGATTTTGAGTTTTGTGAATTGGGTTATGTTAAGGAGGGTTAAATTGGAGGTTTAATCGGTTTAGAATTGTTGTTGGAACCTTAATTGCTCAAATGAGATGTTGGAGGTTGAATTCCTATAGTGGGTCCTTGAGGTTTGAACTCTAATTGATGCTTGGAAGGAGACTTGATGTTTTAATAGACTTTGAGGACTTTGGAGTGTTGTTTTGATAGTTATACCCTTTGAGTTGGGTAGAGTTTTGATGGAAGATAGGAATTTTGTGTCCCCAAGTGTTGTTTTGGCCACATTATTAGTTTGAGAGCTAATATATGTTGGTTGTGCGTTTGTGTGCTTGTGTAGACCGGTTGTGAGTCTTGGTGGTGCGCGGGGCCACTTTGTTGGTTGTTATTCCTTGCTTAGGCGAGAGGTAACCACTTTCCAATCCTTAGTACTTGCTTCTGTGGTATTGTGAGTAGATTTGTGTTTTATGCTCCAAGTAGTAATTGTGTTCAAACTATATGTTGTATATAGAAAGGGAAAACCGTCTTGTGGGGTTTTCGACTAATGATGAATGAATTTTGGAATTGTGAAATGAATTTTGGAATTGTGAAAGATATGCCACTGAATGAGGTTAATTGTGAAATGATTATTACTCTTGATTATGATTTGAGCATGATGCATAATTTGGGATTTGGTGAGAGTTTGATAGTTACTACCACGTGGTAAGGCCTCCATTAATGCATGATGGTTGGCTTAGTACGTCCCCCATAGTGAGGGATAGGCCTTTTGACTCCCTACGTCCCCCAGAGTGAGGGATAGGCCTTTTATGGCTCCTTACGTCCCCCATAGTGAGGGATAGGCCGGGTTCGGCTCCTGAAAAATCTCCCAAAGCGAGGGATTTGATTGATGGGATTGCATCATTGCACTTGCATGAATTGTTGTGGCTATCAATATATATATATGATTTGTGAACTGCCCCACTTGACACCTCACGAGTACCTATTTAGTAGTACCTAGTATTGGAAAGGTTGGTTACTGGGACTTTGTCTCACCCCGTGGTTTACAATATTTTCAGGTGAAGGTTCTAGGCGTGCGCCTTCGGGAAGAGACGCAGAGGCTTGAGCTTGGTTAGCATTAGGCCTCTAGCTTTATTTATGTATGGATAGTTGTATATTGCCACGTTTAGGGTCCTTTTAAACTATTTTGATTGCCTGGTTTATTCGTAAACTGGAGGAAGTGTATCTTCTTCTTATTTCAATTGGGCCGGAGGCCCCTTTTTATTGATTTTGTAAACTGGAGAATATATTATCTACTCGTTTTGTTGGCCGGAGGCCATTCCTATTATTTTATGAAACTTTGTTATTCGTGGTTGAGATCTATTGGGATGGGCTGATTTTGATGTATGTCGTTACCCGGGCCGGAGGCTCGGAGGTCCAGTGATTGTGATTGAATGATGATAGTTGCACGCAACTGCATTTGAGATGGAACCAAGTTTTAAATGTTAATTTTCTAAAATTACGCAATTTCTTCTACTATGGTAGTTGTTGTAACATCTTTCTTTTTCTACCATAGTAGTGGTCTTATGATGAGTTATAATGTTTTTGAGGTTAAGGGTCTTACAGCAGGAAGTAGCAGTATGATACTTTTAAATTTTTTTTGGCAAAATATCAGTTAGTATTACCTCCGATCCTAAATATAAGATCTAGTTGACTAATTTGAGTAGATTCAGAAAATAAATTAAGTTAGTATTTGTAATAAATAAGTGTTTTTTTTCCTGAAATATCCATACTAATTAAATTTATTAATTAGAACTATCATTATTAGAATGACTATCTCAGAAAAAAAATGAATAAATGTGAGAGATAAAATGGATTGAGATTTTATATTTAAAACTAAAATAAAAGTTAATCGATGTTTTACATTAAGGGTCGGATGTAGTATTTTTTAAAAGGTTAAGGTGCATCTAGCATCCTAAAATATTTTCTTGGATGTATCAATACCTTAAGTATTTTGTAATGCATTTAACACTTTAAAGTATTTTTTTAGATTTATCTAATACAGTAAAATATTTTTTTGATACATCTAACATCTTAAAATATTTATTTAGATATGTCTAGTGCTGTAGAATATTTTTTAGTATATCCAGCACCAAGATAAAAAAATATTTTAAAATATTAAACGTATCTTAAAATATTTTGAGAGAGAAAATAGGCCACGATGCTATGCATCTTAGCCTTTTTTAAAATTTTACGCGCACTCATTTCTTGACTTGAAAAGGCATTCCCGCCGGTTAGGGTAACTGAGTCTGAGTCTTCACTGTGTACCCCTGTCATGCCGGATCCTTACGACTTCTCCCTGTACGACGACGCCGAGGTTGTAGCGGCACAAATATCAGAAGGCGAAGAGGATTCTGCAGCCAGCGAAGAAGAAGACGAGGATGATGAGGAGTACGAGGACGAGGCCGAAGAGTACATTCCGCTCGTACAGTCTCGTAGGGCGTTACAGGGCGTTCCTTCTACGTCCGATCAACATGATACCATAATTCAGGAGGTTCCGGATGATCTTGTTGAAGAAGAAGGAAACAAACGGCGGAGGACTGAGGGAGGAGAAACGTGTTTGTCTCTGGGAATTGTGAACGCCGAAAGTAGTCAAGGGAATGAATGGAATTATGCTGACACCGATGGCTTGTATTGCCCCATTTGCCTGGATGCTTGGACCAATGACGGTGAACACCATATCTGGTGCCAAGCCCTTACCGCCTCTTTATAATTGATTTTTATTCAAATTATTCTATTCTTTTTTCTGATATGTCACGCTAAAGCACATTTACATCTAAGTTTATTCCTGTGCGACGATGATCAGCATATCTTGGCTGGTTTTTATTTAGTACTTTTTAACTGTCGTGTGAATTCAGCTCTCTTCCGTGCGGGCACATATATGGTATGTCTTGCATCAAAAGGTGGCTTCAACAGAGAAAAAATTCCGGGAAGGTAATTGTCTGCTGTGGCTGGTAAACATTTTTTAAAAGCAGCATTTAAAAGCTATAACATTGTTTTGTTTGCACTGTTCCTTTAGTGTCCTCAATGCAACAGGAAATGTGCGTTAAGGGATGTAAGGAAACTCTATGCTTCACGTGTACTTGCTGCTGATGAAGCGTTACAGAAGGTTGTTTTAATTTTATGTGTGTATAACATTTCAAAGGAAACTTTGGAGAGTTTAATTTGTTTGATGATTCTTCTTTTTCTGCAGAAAATTCGGTCGCTTGAGGCCAGATGTGCTATTCTCGAATGCAAGGTATGGAGCCAAAGAAAGTTTTGAATTTGATTGCTTAGAATATTTTCCTTTATTTACAAATTAAGGGATGTTTTTCTGGGTGGCTTATCAGTTCTTGAGGATCTCCTCAATATATACTAAAACCTCTTCCTCTCTTCCTCCTTCCCACCCCCCACCATGATGTTTTTTCTTTTAAAAAACCATTATGCTCTGTCATTGTTCCCCGGCATTAGGGGGCGTGGATTTTACTAGAATATGCTGCTATATTTCTTTTACTGTTGATCATCTTAGTGGAATTGTGAGAATTATGTCCTTAGGGCTCTGACTGGTGCAAGAAAGAAGCATCATGGCAGAAAAAAGAAGCTCAATTGCATCTTGAAGTTGAGAAACTTACGGAGGTATCTTTTAATCATATATTCTATGCCAACCTTTTGACTACAGTCCATTCGTCATTTTCTGTTGTCTAGATACATGCCACTCCTGATATTTTATATCAGTTTTTTCACTGTCGTTTTTTTTCGGTCAAATTTTTTTCACTGTCGTTTGCTACACCTGGAAACAGTAATTTTGCATTCTTCAGTTCTTGTGCACTTTTTTATTCGCGTTGCTCTGACAACTCTTCTCATGGGGCCTAAGCCTTTGGCAATTGGATATGAATCCATGAACATATAAAGGATTGGTGCAGTTGATGTTGGTTTTTCTGTTGAGATCCTTCTGGATGTTTGTATTTAAATTTTTGTATTGATTAAACTCTGATCCTCCAGAGAAATACATATTTGGAGCAGCTAATACAAGACATGGAAAGGAGGCAAACTGGTGGTACCATGGGGGCAATTGGGAATTGTCGATGGAGATCTGAATCAAGTAATCATTCCTTCATATAAAGGATCTTCTCTGGGAGATCCTCAAGTCTTATTTTACTATCTCTCTCTCCCCCCCCCCTCCTTTTTTTCTTTTTACCAAAAAACTCCAGAATAATAATTTCTTTTAGATTGACAAATCGGCAGCATTTGTCAAATTATTTGCCCAACATAAAGATCCCTTTAATTAATGCTATAGCTTGTGCAAAGTCTATTTTTGTTTCCAATTGATCTGGGGTTCTGAACTTATTGGCTCTTGCTCAAAAATTATTTTGTAGAATATGGCTTTGGGGCAAAGATGTATGGGAAAGGACGTTGTTGCAGTTTTGAATTGCAGGTAAGGCTGTCAGCCTTTACTCTCCTGGAGTCAGATGCACCCCGCCCCAACAAAGGACCTATATGTGTTTTAACACGCCTTGACATATAAGAAGTGTCTTCATAGATTGTTGTGCTATACTATAGTTGTTGCTTGTCAGCAAATGTATGTTTGCTTTCTTGCATGAGTATGAGTTTACTCCATCTAGTCCATATTTTGGCAATTTGGAATTCATTGGCCTGGTTTTTTTCAACCTTTTCAGAAGGAGTTTCAGCTGGGCAGCGCTCTTGTGTTTGACATAAATGCTTCTAATCAAATATTATTAATAGCACAAAGGCCAAAAGGGATAGGTGGGCCTTACTTGCTAACTAAAGTAAGGTCTTTCAACTTTAAAACTTTGTCATGTGTTTTTATATAGCTTTTGTAGCTCCTCATTGAATGGAATATCTCCTTTAAATTTCTGGAAACCTGGTTCTGCAGATGAGTTTGATACCTCCATATGAGATGGAAGATATCTTCCTGCCTCCTGCTTCGTGTGCGATTAAGGATCTCCATATTTCCCCTTTGAATAGTGACCTGGCCCTTTATGCTTCTTTGGGAAGGAAATTATCAGTACTCAGGTAGGATCACTTGAGTTGTTATTAATACATTATTTTTTTCTTACATGTGAAGAAAAGAAAATTCAATCATTGTTGTAATTCTTTTTGTTAAAGCATGCAGAGCAACAATGTGGCTGTCAATTATGATCTACAGGTAGAAGTTTAACCCTCTTATTTCTACCTAGTGCTCACGAAAGATGTTGTTACTAGTTTAGCATTCCTCAGGCTTTGTGGTTGTTTAACATTTCTGTGCATGTATTGTGTTCATCTTTCTGTTATTCTGTTTTTAGGTTCCTGCTTGGTCATGTTCATGGGATCTCAGCAGTTCCCATTATGCATACGCTGGACTACAGGTCAGCACCTTGGTGCTGTATTTATTGGGAATAAGAATTTCACATACTGATTTCTTTCTTTCATTTTGCAGAATGGTTCTGTCTTGGTATTTGATTTGCGCCAAACTTCTGGGCCCTTAAAATCCCTAAATGGGTTAACTAGCAATCCCGTTCATACTGTACAGTCTCTTGTACAAGATCCCAGTCTTTCTTCCGGTTTTGGAGCAATTCTATCTGCTTCTGCCATTGGGCTGTGTCAGTGGAACATAGGTGCTGAAGAGGGGTAGGCTATTAACATGTTATGTATATTAGCTTGATGTCGATTGTTTTATTACCAATGCCTTATAAATATTCTGCTCAACTTCCCTCCTGCAGATTCTATTCAGCAATTTATTTTTTTTTTTGTTTAACTTTGATGGGGACAAAATCTGTTTTTTATGAAGGTTTTTTTAGCGGCTTTAGGGAATTGGCAGTTTTTGTTTTGGTCCATCTTCACATATTCCCTTTCTTTTTGTTACCCTGTTTGGTTTTGACCGTGTTAAAGCGAAGAGATTCCTTTTACGTTTCGTTTTCATTTTGTTTTTGGAAAAAGTTATTGCTGCTCTATTTGCATTTTGGAAACACGCATTAGGTTCATTATTAATCAGAGTAGTGCGGAACCTCGCTGAACTTTTCAAATTTTACCATGCATGAGTTTATTTTTGGTTCCTTGTGGCCAGTGACGATTTTGACAGTGCTAATGTGGAATCTTCGTCATGTTCTCTTTCGTTATTACAGTCATTAGCTCTACTGATGGATTCATTTATTTTGTGAAGGCCATCTATGATTCCTGAAACTGGTAATCAAGGGGTTTGTATATCTCTTGCCTATTGCCCAAGCAGTGATGATATTGTCATATCATACCGTCCCAAATTTGACATGTCCATTGATGGGTCTCTCTCCCAGCCATCTCTCACTCCTTCCCAAGTTATAGGACAAGGAGTCCAGGGTTCTCATGTTTTGTTGAAGAGGCTTGACGGAAGCCATTTGCAACAGCTGGGTTCCTCATGTGCCAATGTAAGTAACATTCGACTTCCAAAATGTGTAATAATGGACGTAGAGAGTGAGAGCCGATTGTTAGCATCTGAAGATGAAGTTGCATGTGAATTGGTCTTGCAAGAGTTGCCATCTTTTGGGTTTGTTCAGCGATTGAAATTACCAGAGCATGCGCGGGATCTGAAGTATTCACCTACTCTGAATCATGGATTACTGGGTTGTTTAACTGGAAAGTCGTTGCAACTTTTCTGTACAAAACTCTCGTGAGAAAGGTAATTCTATATTGTGATGCTTGTCCCCTTTTCATTATTTTGGGCCTAGGCAGCTGCTTTGTGCTTGTGTCAGTATGCCTGCGATACATAGTGAGGGAAGGAGTTTTTTTCCTTCCTTTTTTGGGGGGGGGGGGTGTGGGGTTTTGCCACTCGTGTTCAGCTACTTTTGGCTTGGGAATTTCAGCTATTACCACTAACTTAAACCTTAACTATGATAGCATGGGATCGCAAGTTTGGGGAAAGGTGTACTGTACAAATGGTCATGATCTAGATTTAATTGCCACAATTTAATGCTCAAACGTCATTGCTTCAGTTTTTTTAGTGATTGGATGTGGTTGTCAGTTGTGATAGTGCATAAACAGCTTCTTATTTAACCCTTTTCCGTGTGGCAGGTTCCTTGTCATCAAAGAAACGAAAGAAACGCTTCGAAATTTAATTCTTGCTACATATTTCCGCCGATTCTTTGGTTCGTCAAGCCATATTTATCCACTTTTGCCGGCATTCCTCTTCCCCATCACGTGTAATAGCTTGTTCATTCCTTTCGATCTTGTGACACCCCCCACCGGGGCTAAAAAAAAACAAAACCCAAAAAATGTCCCATAGTAGGTCTTGGTGAGCCTGAGGATGAAATGTAATTAAGTCGCCAGGTTGTGTATATACATCTCTATAAATGGTTCACCGACTTTATTCTTTTGTAATAAAAATTTCACCACTTTCCTAATCCTAGCTGTTTTGAACGGCTTAGAACAAAACTATGAAACAGAAGGTCGTAAGGCCTGGAGAATGGGTTTAACATGTCCTCACCCTGTTGAAGCTTCATCTAGTATCTGGGTTGTGTGCGTTACAGAATGGATAGCCTTGTATAACTCATGTTTATGCACATGTATCAGCCACCTACATTTTGTTGAGTACGAGCTCAGAGGGATTTGAACGTGGCCTGTTGGCCGTAAAATAAAATGGTTTGCTAACAAATGACGTTTTTGATCTGCGTTTTGTTTGAAGAGAATAATCTTTTAGTAAATTGGCTATGGAGAAGACAGTCCCGATGTGCTCGCCGCATTTAAAGCTGCGGTTAGATCTCATCTACGAGATTTTTAAGAATGGGTGGGAAAAAGATTGATTCCGACCTGCCGGATTCGAACCAGCGACCTAAGGATTATCTGTTGAAACAACTACAGTCCTCCGCTCTACCAACTGAGCTAAGGTCGGTTGTTGGTCCTGTCTAACGCTAATAAATATCAAAATCGTAATTACTTACATATCGTTGTCTAGCAAAGAAACAGCAGGTGTCTTTTCCTACAAACGAAAAACCTTTTGACATCCATTTAATAAAAATTTGATTCTAATGTGCTTAATTTGTAAAGATGTTTAATTTTCTTAATTTATTAATAATTTTGTAAAAATATTAAATTCCTTCATTTTTTTTTTTCTCTGAAGGGATGAAAATACTATTTGAAAAGAAAAGTATAACCGGAAAGCATGGATTTTCATTTTTATTTTTTATTCTTATAACACGGATGGCATAATTTCCGATGGTTGCCGGTTAAACACAACTCCTGAACCCACTGCATTGCATTGCATTCGCGATGAACATTTTTTTTTTTTTGGCTATGTACGAAACGTGGCATTATGGTGGGTTGAGACTTTAAGAGGATAAGCCACGTGGCTTGTTGATGCCTCTCTGATTACTAGGTCGACTATTTTTCCTTTTTTCCTTATGTTTTGCTTGCAATCCAGTGCACTCTTTTTGCACCCTTTCTTCTCGCTAAATCGCCAAATGACTAGTGGCAGAACACAAGCGAACACAAACAATTTTTCGAGAAACGATCAATCTGGTTCCACCTTAGGAGAATAAGGTGGAACCAGATTTATCGCCTCTGGCAAAATTTGAGAGAGAGTATTTTCTTTCGATAAGATTCTTCATAACAACGCCCTTTGGTCCTTTAAAGAATGCCACTCTACAGTGGCCGAGGACAGGACCAAGGAAGGCCCAACGCATTGGATTTTTCTAGCACTACGGATTCTGTGTAGTTGATTTGCTCCTCTAAAATTACAAGATAGTGTGGGATGGTGAGATACAGATCAAAATGAACCGTGGAGATGTTTCTGAATTTTAATCCATTTTCCTTTGCTCAGCCATTTCTCTGTCCCTACCTAAAGCTTTTGGGAGGAAGGAATCTTTTTGGGAAATGTTTGAATTTTATTTGGAGAGAGACCAATGTTTTGTTTTGGGGCCATGGGCCCACATCATTATTGTGATTAATCAAACAAAATAGTGTCATCATCAAAACTGCTAAAAGAATGTCAAATGCAAGGAAGGCTCAATTATATGATGATGTGTGTGTGTGTGGAGTTTGGACAAACATTCCATCTTTTTAACTCCAATAATATTAACAGCTCCCCACCAACATCCCCGTTTTGTTTGGTTTGGCCATCATCATCATCGGCCCCATTCCCAAAAGCATCTTCAACCAGCAATCATACTCATTTAATTATAGAAAGAATGACGTTTCCCTAATCCAGTTCATACATTTATGCCTTCTCCTGCTTGTCCTGTCACATTCTTCATATTCATATTAGTTTGCATACGTATCCTTAACACTGTCGTTGCTCAAAAATTAAAGGTTCATATTTTATCTTTAAAATTGGCTGTCCAAGTTCTCGAGAGAGAACCATACTTCAAAAGTTAGCTGTTGGGGTTAAAAAACCCAACGTCTTATAAAATTCCCCTTTTAAAATAATCTTTTTCAACGTGAGGCTTATGATAGTATGAAATTTTGTTATTCTCATATGTATTTGGGAATTTCATTGTCGATTTCTTCTCTTATCTGCTGAATTTTGTATGCATAACTCTGATGCAGTTGAGTTAAAATTCATGCTACTGCTGTAGTGTTTTTTTTTTTTTTTGGCCTTTAATTGACTCCTATACTTTCTGGTTTAAGGTGAATGCAAGAATCAGTTACACAGCAGGGCGTTTGCTTCAGCAGGTTCTATTAACCTTTATTATCGCAGGGTTTTTTTTTTTTTTTGGCAATATAAAACCTTTGGGAGCATTACCGTTTGTTTCTTTTTGATCAAGAGAAACAAAAGTTTAGGTGAAACATCAAAAGAATAACAATACTAGGGTGTTGAAAAGGGTAGTTCCACATGCATAGGACAATGAAAAATGAGACTCATTTTAATGACTGAAGATTCACTGCATGAGTCTTGGATTGGAGCAGAACGTTGTCCAACACGAAAATCTCGTATTCAACATTTAAATAACAGTAACATCATAGAATGAAGAGCGTGCATATAATATTTCACACACTCACCAATGCCACGATCCACCCAATACCATAAGGCTTCCTTGCTTGTTATTACTTGACATTGATCTTATTCGTCTCTCCCATTTTCTTTTTCTCCAGCATCAACAAATGTTAAACAAAAACGAAACAGTGACAATCTTCCAAATTTGGTCTTCTCAGCAACTTTCGAATGCTCCACTCCAGATACTTGCGTCAATGTCGTCGTCAAGAAGGGGCCCAATATAAGACACCACACAAGAAAGAAAAAGAGGAACTTTGTGAAAGATAAAAATAGAAGAACTGACAGTCTCACGGATGAACAACGTTTGGGGATAACATTAATAAAACATTTCGATTTCAGTGGGAACGCCCGCATTCTGGGGTTAGTCTGTGGTCTCTTTTGGGATCCTTGCAATAATTGTAAACCATGTGGTATCTCTGTACCCATCTCATGGCCTTATATTGCTGTCTTGTAAGGCCACCGGAGCGATACGGCGAGGCGGAGGCAGGGTGGCACCTGGCTGGGGCATGGGCTGAGCAACCACTGGCCTTCAAGTTGGTGTACCTTGCAACAAAAGGCTGATATCTGTAATCAGCTTTGTACTTGCCATCTTCTGTCGCCCATGATGAAGCGTCCCATATTGAACCATAAAGCCACATTGGCCTCACTGGAAAAGTTGCTGCACTCTTCCTCGGGTACCTCCTTATGGGTAAGTCATCTACAAAGAATCTGAGTGGGAAAATAAAAAATAAAAAATAAAATTTTTTGTTCCCGGGGGTTGGGGGGAGGGGTTCTGTAATTGCCTGCACATTTTATGTAATAATTAATGCCCTGAGTGGCCAACAAAGAACACATCATATCATTAAATTACTGTTACTTTTGACTTTTCACTGGGTTAAAAGTGTTGTAAGATTTTGTTTGCCCCACAGTCACACTTCTTTGTTTATGCCATCCTTGTGATCTTGGTCATTTCTGTTTAAGACCTTTCAGATCCCTTTCGCTTTCTTTCTTCCTTAATTTCAGAGAAAATGAAAACCTTTCCTTTTCATTCAAAGTATCAGTTATTGGTGCCTAGACTGTGATACCAATTCCTAAGCACCACTAAAATTCGGGCGACATACACGAAGTCCAAACTTACACTGTTGATTCTGCTTATTTTAATCCTATCTCTTCATAAGATAATGAATGCTCCGTGCCCCCCCCCTACCCAAAGACAGGGAATTTATGCATTTGATAATCAGACATACGCAAATTAAGCTTTGCACAGATACAGTGAAGTTGTACAGTGACTTACATTATTTCCTTAGGACTCCACAGTATAGCATAGTGATGAAAATCTTCGGTAGGATCAAACCAGAGATGGAATTTCATCTCTCTGCCTATAATGTTACGATCCCCACTTCCTCTTATATAAACATTGGTCTGCAAAGTGTAAGGCTTCCCGAATGTTGTCCCCAGAAACTCAATGTCCACCTCGTCATGGAAGCCTGGATGTGCTTGATTGTTTGAAAGCTGCCATTGGTCAAGACGCAAGTGATTAGTTAAGCTCCCAACTTATGAATATGCTATTCTTGTGTTAAGTATTTTGATCATATCTTACATAGAGGGATGTTATAACGCCTGCAGTATAGCCAGGTTGCAGCTTCATGGAAGCACCAAAGTAACCAGAGCGGAATGGACGAACAGACTTGAAGCCACTCCCTGTTTGCAGGGAAAAGATGTAAAAGAAGTGGATTCCATTTTCAAATAAAAGATGAAGATTCAAATATAAAATGATAAGAAACTAATCAAACCTGAGGTTTTATCAAGCCATATTGTTAATTCATTTTTGTGTAGTCTTTGGTGCTGAGGACCCCAGAGGTTTCTAAAGCCTTTGTGAAAGCTCATAGACCTGAATTTGGAGCTTGGCCAGTAGCCAGGTGAAGGTGGCCCGTAGGCATTGCTTGAAGGTATCATAAAGATTACAATAATGAAGAGAAGGAGAGCCATAAAGATAGAAGAAAGGGTGAATAACCTGCAGTGTAAACGGAAAGCAGACTGAATCTTCTGTGCATAAATGTAGGGTGTGATGGTAAAAAGGGCAGAGGCTGCTCAGGCCTGGTGTCTAAGGAAGAAGAGTGTGGCAGTACGGTTTGATATAAATAAGGAAATTTGTGGGTCCCTCCAAGAGAATTAATGGTGAAATTTAGGATGGCTTAAAGAATTAAACAAACAAGGGGAAGCTAATAAATTCATTTTATAATTTTCTCTTGCACATTGCAACTGCTTTCCTTCAAATTATTATGACAGAAATCCCGTTAGCTTAGTTGGCAAGCTAGAAAAGGATGTTGGGATGCAGAAGGAGTTGATGGGGTGTTTTAAATGTGCCTCTGTATGTCGTTTGGCATGACTTTAAATTCCCACAAGAACTGTAGATTTGTTTCTGCGACCTCT